AGGGTTAGCCGATTCTGGCAAGGTTCATTGTGCTACAGCCAACTTCCCAGCTAATCCAGTTAAGAGTAATCAAGCATCCCGCTTTAAGGCATTAGCCGATTGTCTGTGGCTGACGAGACATAATTACTGATTTCTTTCTAAGTTGCACATGGTCAGCTCTCTGCGCTGTGAGTTGTGGGAGACAAGGAAGTTTGCTTTATGGATTTTCGATTAGATTTTCAGTACACAAAGACTTTACAGACATTGTAAGCACTGCCAAAGTATGCATAAAGTAATGCCACAAGGACCATGTTTTAATGCGGGTGGAAGGGTAGAAGCTGGATATATTTTGATCCCTCATTAATGCCTTAGAACGTAAGTACAAAAGGAAGCCAATGGCCCTTCTAATCGAACATCCTGCTCTCCCAGTGACCAACGAAGTGTCTGTGGGAAGCCTGGAAGCTGAACCTGAGCACAACAGGTGAGGGAGAGACTCCATCAGGCAAGGCCTCCTTCCACTGGCCTTGCCCCACCCTCTGACCCTAGGAGTCCTCATAAGGGAGCTGTTTTCTGGAGGAAGAACTGTGAGGGGAGAGACTCCCATCAGGCAAGGCTTACTTCCACCTGCCTTGCCCCACCCTCTAGTCTCTGCATCTCAATTTGTATTGTATTATTTTATGTACTGTGGCTTGCTGTTGTTTTATTGATTATAGTATAGAAATTATTTATTGTAACTGTTGAGTGGATTTCGGTTTAACGTTTATATGTTATTATTATTCTATACTATTCTAATGATTGTTGAATGTTACGCTATTTGATGTAGCTTGCTTATTTTAAAGTTATGTTTTATTATCACATTTTTGTATTGCATTAGATTGTTATAAGGTGTACATTCTCTGCTTCTTCAGCTTGTAAACTGCCTTGGGTACAGTATTGTAAGATAGAAAGACGGTATACAAATTAAAAGTGGTGGTGATGATGATGATGATGATGATGAACAGCACCCTGCCTACCTGTGATTCCTAGCAGTTGGTATTCAGAGGCAGAATGCCTCTTGACTGTGGATGTAGAACAAAGCCAACATGCCTAGTAGCCTCTGATAACCTTGTCCTCCACGCATTTCTCCTTCGAATGTTGTTTCTGTTATTTGACATTAGGGGAGTTTGTTAAGTATAGCAATTTAATTCACGAATATTGTAAATGCTCGTATGCATTAAAGGTAAAGGACCCCTGACCATTAGGTCCAGTCGTGGCCGACTCTGGGGTTGGGGCGCTCATCTCACTTTACTGGCCGAGGGAGCTGGCGTACAGCTTCCGGGTCATGTGGCCAGCATGACTAAGCCGCTTCTGGTGAACCAGAGCAGCGCACGGAAATGCCGTTTACCTTCCTGCCGGAGCAGTACCTATTTATCTACTTGCACTTTGACGTGCTTTCGAACTGCTAGGTTGGCAGGAGCAGGGACCGAGCAACGGGAGCTCACCCCGTCGCAGGGATTCGAACAGCTGACCTTCTGATTGGCAAGTTCTAGGCTCTGTGGTTTAACCCGAAGCACCACCCACATCCCATGCATTACTATGTGTTTAAATTTGATCGGTTGGTAACTGAATTCTAGAGAGTTCTCCAGTAGTTCTCATGTGATTGGCTAATGTTGGTCACATGGGAGGTATCTGGTGAAGGAGAGACATATTTTTATGTGAAGCAAGGTGACTGTGTTTTAGAACCCACTGTGGACACTGCTAAGTTGAATAGAGTGTTGGAGTGCCTATTCTCTGCTTGGAAGAAAAGAGAGCAAAGCTTCAGGAGAAGGTAGAATTGGAAATCTCTCATAGGAGCTGCAAGGCATGGCCTAACTAAGATACAGAAGACTGAGTGCTGAGCTTTGGAAAGAGAGGAAAATACAGTTGCTTGGAAGTTGGAAGAAGACTGGAAGGTGTTTAAAGGATACTTGCAAAACCATATTGAAAAATCAGAACTCCTATTAGAATAAACAAGTTCAGTTTTAAATACTGAAATACTAAATAAGATGGATAAAAATGTGCAATAGAAAAAGAAGCATGAAATTAGGTTAAAGGTGTGTGAAAGAAAGTAATAGAAATGGAAAGAAATTGCAATTGAGTAGATTGGAAGTCTAACACAAAGGTGGGGTGAGGGGGTGGATGGTGATGGGACAAGGAATTATCTGTGGGATTGAGTGTAGGTATGTTTGAAAACTTTTAAGGATTGTATGAAATGTATGTTTGTATGCTTGTATATTCACAATATGTGTGTATTAATGCTGAATTATTTTAACAATAAAATTTTATATAATTTAATTTATTTTTTTTTCAAAAAGGAAGTTGGAAGAAGAGACTGTAAAAGGTCAATTGGCCAATTGGTGCCAAAGAAAGATAGAACTTTCTTTATGTATGCAACAGCAGCACCAAGGATACTTATCGCAAAGTATTGGAAGACACAAGACTTACCCACTCTGGAAGAATGGCAGATGAAGGTAATCGATTATATGGAATTGGCGGAAATGACTGGCAGAATCCGTGACCAGGGAGAAGAGTCGGTGGAAGAAGATTGGAAGAAATTTAAAGACTATTTACAGAAATACTATAAAATTAATGAATGTTAAATTGAGGTCTGATTGAAAATAACTGGTATTGGCAAAAGCCTTGCGTTTAAGAGCATGGAATATTTGATTGATAAGGTTGTAAAAATATCTATTTATAAACAGATTAAGTTTTTGAGTTAAGATAAAGGAAGGAGGGTAAGGATTTGCTGAAAGGAGTTTTAAATGGAAATACAAGTGGGGAGGTGCGGGAAGTCAAAGAACTAAGGAAAGATAAGAAGGTTAAATGAAAGTATAAATTTTTAAATTTTTCTGTTTTTCTTTCTTATGGTTATTGTTATCTTTTGTTTTCTTTTGTCATTGTTATTGTTGTTTTTGTCTTTGGAATTTTTTGTAAAACCAATAAATATTATATTAAAAAAAAATGGAAGAAGAGACTGTAAGCCCATGCCTGGAGAAGGATGTGACTGTAAATATTATGTTTTAATTCATCTATAATTATAAGTTTTTACAAGTAAAGTTTTTGAATGTTAAAGTTGGGACGTTCGTTTAATTTCCAGAAGAAGGGTGTCAGTCATAATATGATTTGAGCTTCTTAGCTGCAATTTTGCTACTCTTACATGTGAAGCAGTGTTCACTCAAATCTGCTTGTGTATTTGGAATAGCGTATAAGGCAATTGTTAGGCTGTACTGACCTGCCCCATGCCAAATTGCCTGAAGGGGTAGCCATGCCCCCCTCAGTCATAAGTATTTTAATGGAATGAGGAAGAAGCAGAAAACTTGTTTCTTGCTCCTCGCCTAAGAGGAACCTTGAGCAGATTCAAGTTGGGGGAGGAGTGTCTTACACAGTAACTATCACCATCCCCCAGATGCCATAGCAAGATTCAGACTCCGCTTCCCTCTTCCACCCACCTCTATTTGGAAAAAGAACAAAAATAACACAGAACTTCCATATTACATCCTATTTGACCCTGATGTGTCTATTGCCTGAGGATTAGGGTGATAAAATGTTTCAGCAAATAAAGCAGGGACTTCTCATCTATTTCTACTCCTCCATTAAACAATTGTCAATTAAAGGTGAATCAAATTACATCTGCTTTGACATCGGCAAGTACTTCAAAGGATTTCTAAATTGTGCTTTCAGAACCACTTACATCTCTGATTGAGATGGAACTCTCTATACACACACAATTAGACAATTATTTCTCTTATTATCAGTAGTAGCACTGCTGCTGTCAGACATGTGCCAGTCATTATGCTACCTAAAAAATGGTTTGCACAGTTTGTTATATGGCCTGGGACTGAATTTAGCCCTTTGAAACTCTTCTATGTTTTTCTTTGATCAAACAGTTTTCCAACACTGATTTTCTGCAAAATGAATGTTATATTTATACTTCTTTTTCTAAAAACAATCATAACAAGCTGATTCCCTGTGAATAAATCACGATACATTACTGAAACCGTTCTTTCCTTGTTGATGACCCCATTTTCCCATCCAATAGTTTCTTTCCATAACTGGCCATGGGTAAGTGGCAGCCATGCTCTCCTTGAGGTGCATAGGCAGTAAATAAATGCCATGTATCATAAAATTTGTTTTCTAGTGTCCGATTTCTCATTGCCCTCACTGTTTGAGTAAGCTTTTCCATGAGAGTCATTGTCCAAGTCTGATGATGCTGTTCCTCAAGCCATGTTTTCCAGTTTTTAGCTAAAGTAGGTCTAGCAGCTGCTAATAGAAAAGACAGTAAGCCTTTATGCAATCCCATCCTCCTTTCTTCAAATCTCAGAAGCAGAGTCATATTAGGATCTGAAATCACCCATTATTATTTATATAGCATCATCTAGGTACATAGTACTTAACAACAACAACAATCTTTATTACGGTCCAGAGACCCAACAAATCGTTACAAAGCAATACACAATTCATACAGCCTACCTCCAGGTTAAACAAGCATTTTGTTCAGAGTATAGGGATCATTGGTTCTTGCAACCACCGATAAAAGCTTTGCCACTGCTAATGTTCTAGCATTTGTCCGATCTTCCGATAGGAACCTGACACAGCCTCTGATTTTCCTGGGAAAGGTACCAGCAAGGGTAGTATCAGTTCAGCCCTGGCTTTCTCATATTTTGCACAGTGCAACAAAATATGTTTTATGGAATCGATATCTTGAGCACACGAGCAAAGTCTGTCCTGGTAGGGAACTCCTCTCAACCTGCCATCCAACACTGCAGAAGGAAAGACGTTTAGTCTGGCTTTGGTGAAAAGCCTTCGATAGTTTGGTACTGTCAGGTTTTTAATCTAAGGTGTTAACTTAAAGACATGCCCATATTGTACTCCTACTGCCAGCAGACTACGGACTGCGTGTGATCGAGATCGCAAGTCACTGTGTGCATTATCCCATAATCTTTGCTTCAACATCTTTTGCGCGCCTTCATAACCCAGGTAATACAGTTGGGGGGGTGACAGATGGATGTGAGGGCGATCTGGCTGCAACATCTGTCACCCCATTGATCGCCAGGGTTGATTCGGCTGATCTGGCTGGCTAGGCAGGTGTCCCCTTCCTCCCTCACCACTCCATGCGCGTCCCTCCCAAAGCTGTGCGCTCGGTGGAAGAGGACGACCATCCCAGATAGAAGGAGTGTGCCGTTCTTCGGTCAAGGGTATACTTAACAAGGAACAGATGCTGCTCCCATGTCCAGCTCCCATTAGCCCCAGCCAAAATGGCTAATTGTCAGACATGATAGGAATGGTAGTCCAGCAACATCTGGAGGGACACAGGTTCCCCACCTTGGTGTAGATGAGCTTTCCCACCTGGGTTTCCTCCAGAGGTTTTGGACTACAGCTTCCATCATCCTTGATCATTATGCTGCTGGCTGGAGCTGATGGGACTTGTAGTCCAAAACATCTGCAGGGCACCAGATTGATTTAGACAATACTGAACTAGATTGACCAATGATCTGCTCTGATACAAGGCAGTTTCCTGTGTTCCTATGTTTATTTCACAATATATTCATTTTAAGCTGTCTAACGATTCTCTTCATAGGGCTAGTTGAGCTCCCTTCCAACTCCACTGAAGCAAAGTGGAAGAAGAGACTTCAAAATGATGACTCAGTCATTGCCTTTATCCCAGGGCAATGGAAACTGGGGGTGCCCTTGGTTCAAGGTTGCAAGCCAGCTGGTAAAAGTCAGACATAGGTGCTGGAGGGGCACAGAGGACCTTCATGGTCAGCAGTTTCATAACAGATAATCTGGACACATAGTACAGCTGCCAGCAGATGGGGATGATTATTCAACCAACGTTTCTCGGGTGGGGAGGGTATGGAATTCTCCAATCTTCAGTATAAGATTCAAGCAAGATTTTAAGCACTAGCCATTCAGAGGTATGAGTGTGCAATGAAGGGAGAAGAGGGTTCTAAAGAGGAAGAAAGGAAGTTGCCTTGCACTGTCAGGGAAGATCATCCTAAATAGGAGCATAAGGGTGGTGCATTTTATTGAGTCAGGCTATTGGTCCAGGATTTCAGGAAGTGGTCTTCCCCAGCCCTGCTTGGAGATGCCAGGGATCAAACCTGGGGTCTTCTGCACACAATACATGTCATCTACCACTGAGCTACAACCCTTCCCTGAATCATGACATTTAAGAAGAGATAGGCACCTCTGAAGAATGCATGCTTTCCGTCTTGTCACAGGAAGATTTGTTTTGTGACTAGAGGTAAAAAGCAGAGACATCACCTTGCCAACAAAGGTCCATATAGTTAAAGCTATGGTTTTCCCAGTAGTGATGTATGGAAGTGAGAGCTGGACCATAAAGAAGGCTGATCGCTGAAGAATTGATGCTTTTGAATTATGGTGCTGGAGGAGACAATTGAGAGTCCCATGGACTGCAAGAAGATCAAACTGATCCATGCTGAAGGAAATCAGCCCTGAGTGCTCACTGGAAGGACAGATCCTGAAGCTGAGGCTCCAATACTTTGGCCACCTCATGAGAAGAGAAGACTCCCTGGAAAAGACCCTGATGCTGAGAAAGATGGAGGGCACAACGACAAGCGGACGACAGAGGACGAGATGGTATGACAGTGTTCTCGAAGCTACCAGCATGAGACTGAACAAACTGAGGGAGGCAGTGGAAGACAGGAGTGCCTGGCGTGCTCTAGTCCATGGGGTCACGAAGAGTCGGACATGACTAAACGACTAAACAACAAAATAAATTTCCATATGGTGAAGAGAAAGTAAACTTATGTCTGTTCTGGGGCTCTAAGAGCTACAAAACAGCAGCAGCAGCAGCAACAGCAGCAACCATACCTGATTAAATTATGAAACACCACAATTACCCACATAATGTGACATGCAGTTCAAGACCTCTGGAGGTCAGGAGGTTGGAAAAGTCTGCATTAGATAAATACAGAGCAGAACAGAATCTTACAGCTTGCTGATGAGTCTGCAAAGCACACATAATATATCTGTTCATATGTATTTTCCCCCAATTGCTCTCTTCCACACTTGACTCCATTTCACCAGGAGATGGAGAGGGAAGAAGCTTCCTATTTTCATATCTTCTGAAAACCCTGTGTATTTTAATTCGGTTCCCTTCCTCAGATTGTTTGCTGCATATGCACGACGCCTTTCAACATAACAGCCGGTAAGTAATTTTATAGGGCATCTCATTTGCAAAGTAAAAATCAAAACAAGCTTATTGGGATGGGAGTGTGTGTTGGAGGGATTGGAGCTGTTCTATACATTGTGCAGAATGAGTTTATAGAATTCTAGGCTGTACCACTTCAGACCCTAGGGCAGGTGTGAGGTGTGAGGAATACGCCATGAAAAGCTCCTCCTATGTGTAGCTCTATCCCTTGACAGTTTAAAATAGGCCTCAAAGACCCATCTCTTCTCAGCGGCAGCAGAACATAAATTGGGCTGCAGAAATGGTGTTGTGATTTCTTTACGCTCCAGATGTTTTGGACTCCCATTAGCCCCAGTCCAAGACATCTGGAAGGCACCAGCCTGATGTATGATGTACATGATGTAGGTACATTTTGTCCCCTATCGCCTCCCCCTTAACAAAAACAATATGTCATGTAACAGGCAACACAGGATCCATGATTGAAAGTAAAGCAATGAATGTAAAGAGAAACAGTAATACAGTAATACAGTAAAAAGTGGACTTTTCAGGCAGACATTTTTTTTTGAAATTTTTATTCATTTCCCTGTTTCCTTTATTACATACATATCATATCCATAACATTTACTATACATTCCTTCCTCCCTCCCCCTCTGGGCTTCCCTCAACTTCCGTTTCTGGTTTGTTTCTCCTTTCACCCACTTTGCTGCTTCCTGAAAGAAAATAATACTAATAACATATTTATACAACAACATCAAACCTTCTTCCACACATTTTCTAATGCTAATGATGTGAATGTTTATTTAAATCCTGCCATCAAGTCTATAGACTTTCTTTGTTTCTGCAAGTATAATATAAATGATTCCCATTCTTTTTCAAAGTCACTGTTGTCTTTTCTGGCAGACATTGCCACTCCATTGGAAGGCATGTGTTGCTGGGGGAGGATAATTTGCATTTGACCTTCTGGGGTTTTCCAGCTTTGAGCAATCTCCAGGCATGCTGTAGCCAAGAGCAGGGAAGCCGAATCCTTAAAGCGCATTGAGGGTTTGGTTGGGCTTTCAGCAAGTAATAGCGCTGCCAAGGAATCAGGTAACAAATGCTGGAAAGTGATATTTGATACCAAATAATTTGATATCTTTTTGGAGAGGGAATTATTTCACAAATCGGACCTACATGCACACAGTGGATGTAGTGTAAGACTGAAATGAACTTTTAAACCACCAAACGTCTGGAATTAATTGGGGCTGAAATTTAGCACAGCTCCATCACAGCTCTGAGTTGTGGGCCAGCAGTAAAGGCTTCATTCCAAGTGGCATTCTGGGGAGGAAGATGGTGGTTGCCAGTTAAGTGGAACTGTAAAGGACCTCTAGGAACCCCCTTTAATACACCTAACACCCCAAAACATTTGGCGTGGTAGTCCACAGGGACAGATCAAGACCTCTGGTGGCCTTAAACACCAGAAAGGCTATGGTAACCTCCCATACGTGATTCAAAATAAAAACAATACTAAACTGTCAAATAAAAAAATTACTTTTTGAAGTGACACAAAACTTCACAGAATCACAGACTTTTAGAGTTGGAAGGGATCACGGGAATCTTTCAGCCAACGTGAGACTCAAACCCACAACCCTGAGATTAAGATTCTTATGCTCTACCGACTGAGCTATCACTCAGGGCTGATATTAAAATAGTTTCTAGATTTTCTAGATGACGTCTTTAATGTTTGGGGGATGACAACTTTTTTTTGGAAACATCAAATTCTTCTTTTTTTAACACACTTTTTGTGCCCTTTCTTTGCGGGTGCCCTAAATGCATGCCTAGTCTGCCTATTGGGTAATCCATCACTGCTGGTTGACCATGTTTCACTCAAGAAGAGGCCCATTGAAATGAATGCACTTAACTTAGTCCTGTTCATTTATTATTATTATTATTATGAAATATTTTTCATTTGATTTTTGCAAATTCATTTACACAAATAGTATTATCACAAATATTAAACTTTACCCAAGATCCTTCCGAAACTGAAGGCTTCCCTCCTCCCCTCCATGGGTTCTCTAACTAACTTTTAAAAACTGCATATTATAAATCTATCTAATTTATCATCCTTCATTGTATCCAAAGTCTATGGATCATTACAAGAGTTATTTAAAGCCTGCCAAAGAGTTCAAGTGTTTACAGTGGTTTCTCAAGTACCTTGCATATTTATCCCAGTCTTTGTTGAGGTTTTGATCCTCCTGATTTCTGATTTTCCTGGTTAATCTTGCCATCTCCCTGTTCATTTGTTTTAATTGATTTGCTCTGAGTTAAAAGTCAGTTGAATACCATTCTCAAAATCCTCCCTCCCATTTAAACAGCCTGAAAATGGGGCCGTGAAATGTGGGAAGGGATTTTGGCCCAGCTATGGTGCTGTGATACATTGTTATGGGGCGGACAGAGGCACATGTGTGCATGAACCTTCAACCTGCAAACAGTCTCCTTGGACAGATTACTGTAATTAAGCAGCCACTTCATTCTTGCCTGAAACAAGTATGGCTCAGATCAAAGAGTGATGTATCGATCCTGAAGATGGGCTGTATTCTATCAGGACTAGTAACCTACAACAATCTCTCTAAATCATCCTTTATATATTAGGAATGCAAATTCCATTAACCAGCTAGTAATTCACTTAAGACTTCTTTTCCTAGCGGACAATATACGGGAGTCTAAAGCTGTTCCAAGTTAAACCAAAATGAATTGCCACTGGCTATATATATAATTTTGCGCTGTGGAGCTGGGGACATGCCTCCCCACCCCCGGTGATTAAAGATCATCCAAATCCATTCATACTGCCTCTCTGTGTAAATGATGGATTTTTCACATTAATGAAAGAGCCATCGGAGCCCTCTGGGGTGAGCTGTTCTATTTTTACATTTTGGCATTTTAGCTGGAGCAGCAATAGGCTATTCATCTTTCAGAAGGAGACAGGGAAACTTTACAACCCTGGCTCATCATCCACACGTGAGCCTCATGGGCCTCCTTGTGGGAGATGGGCGTGAGCTGTTCCAGAGAGAGCCAGAGGAGGCAAGATGGGACCATTGTTTGCAGTAGGCAACTCATTTCACTCTCCCCTCCCCACTTTCTCTTCCCATTGTCATTGTCCAAAGCAAGTTTTGCAGGGGGTGAATTCCTGTAAAAAATAATAATTGACAATAGAATTAGGAGAGAGAAAATTAGCAAACAGCCTTTTGTTAATAATATAAACTGCCTGATCAGGGATGGTGAGCCTTTGACCCTCCAGATGTTGCAGGAGTACAGTTCCAAACATGCTTGATCACTGGTCTGGGGCTGATGAGAGCTTGAGTTCAAGAACAGCAGGAGGCAGTGGCATAGCGTGGGTTGGCAGCACCCAGGGCTACACTGAGGGTAGGGTAGAGGGAATTGGATGGAGTACACATGCACATTCAACCGCCTAACAGTGTCCACTTCACCCAGGAGATCGCAGCCGCAGAGATGAAAAAAGAAGAGTTGTTCTGTTCTCTGGAGAGGTCACTTCCTGGTTTCCATGGAGAAGCCGTTTTCAACTGAGCCCAGCGATGGAAGGGCGCAGCTGTATTGAGGCAGCACCTGGTGTTGAAATTTTGCACCCCTAACCATTTTGCGCCCAGGGCAACCACCCCACACTATGCCACTCACTGGAGGACTGTGGATTCTCCATTCTGGGACCAGGTGGGTCTTTGATGTAATCCAGGATGGAAGTTCTTAGGGTCTTTTGAAGTTTTAGAAACTGAAATAAATACATAAACACCCACAATGAACTTTATTCTGCTTATTTATTTTCTGGCTTTGAAGTTGTCATCAAACAGCCACCATTTCCGAGACACTTATGGCACCGTCCTTTGAAGATGCTTATTTATGTCACTCTTTCAGAATAAAATAGGTGATTACTCTGATGCGTCGGAGGCTTTGCTATTTAGATTTCTTCCACCCACACTGAAATGAAACAAAATCTTCCCCAAAATCTGCCTTGCTCTTTGTTCTAAGACTTCTCAAAAGCAATGAGTAGAGAAAATGCTTCAAACGATCTTTGTAGCAGTGACAGGAAGTAACCAGTCAAACTCTCAGAAATAGGTTGCTTTGATTGTCTGCTTGCCTGTGTTGATCAGGCCATGTTACATATCTGAAGAGAGAAGCACTTACAGTTCTTCTCAAAAACTATACTCTTTGACCTGGAAACTTCCCCACTGGAAGCCTCCAGTGGTGAGGGAAATGAACATTTTCAGAGTATCTGTTTGTCTGTCTGTCAGACAGCCAACACTGGTCACAGACCCTCCAACATTTATCTGGGGAAAACAGGGACGTCCTATTAAACAATAACAACAACAACAATTTTATTATTTATACCCTGCCCATCTGACCGGGTTGCCCCAGCCACTCTAGGTGGCTTCCAACATCTATAAAAACATAATAAAACATTTTACATTAAAAAAAAAAACCTTCTCTATACAGGGCTGCCTTCAGATGTCTTCTAAAGGTTGTATAGTTACTTATCTCCTTGACTTTGGCTGTTTCTTAGTACATAAAGTATTGATCTGATATGTAGAGATCTTTCCTATTCTAATTAATTCAAGAGGGTTCTGGAAGCTTCTCTTTGTGAAAGAAATAAGCAGAGGGTTCATGATATTTGGGTTATTCCTTCAAAGAGGCTGAGTAACGCTGGTTAAAACTAGTTCTGTTATCTCTTTCAGTCAGGTCATGCTGACCATAAAAGTAAGACCAGAAGGAGCGTGCGCTTCACTTTCTCTATCTCTTTTCCTTCTGGTGTGGTGTTCTGTACATAGTATGCTTAGTGTTAAGGTTCAGACTTATTATAAGTTATTGAACGTTTAAGTTAAGTCTGCTGAAACTGGATTTCTTATAGACAGTGCCAATCATGAATGTATTGGATTTGTGACCATTATGCTCATTTGCCTTCAGTAGCAGTAAAGCTCTGCTGGATGAAATACAATTGACTCTGGTCTATGTTCTGGGAATATTGTAACGTGTTTAAGTTTTTACTCTGCTAACTATACAGTGGTACCTCGGGTTACATACGCTTCAGGTTACATACGCTTCAGGTTACATACGTTTCAGGTTACAGACTCCACTAACCCAGAAATAGTACCTTGGGTTAAGAACTTTGCTTCAGGATGAGAACAGAAATCATTCTCCGGCGGTGCAGTGGCAGCAGGAGGCCCCATTAGCTAAAGTGGTGCTTCAGGTTAAGAACAGTTTCAGGTTAAGAACGGACCTCCGGAATGAATTAAGTACTTAACCCGAGGTACCACTGTACGTCGTTCTACTCTGGATCAATATTGGGTAGAATTCCATGCCCTCCAACATTTCTCTGATGAAAATAGGGACGCCCTAAGGAAAAGCAGCACATTCTGGGATCAAATCAGAAACCGGGACGGTTTCTGTAAATGCGGGACTGTCCCTGGAAAATTGGGACAATTGGAGGGTCTGTGATCATAATCAGTTGACCCACTGAAATTAAGGGACTAAAGTTCATTGATTTATTCACATCTATTTTGAGTATGGCCAACATTAGATGTTAGCCTATGACAAGAGTGCTGAATATGTGTGGTTCACCACATGTTGTTGGACTACAGTTCCCATCAGCCCTGAATGTCGACCGTGCTGGCTGGGGCTGATGGAGTTGGAGTTCCACAACAATCATGAGAACCACAGGTTTTTCCCTTCCTTATGATTCCACATATTAGACTGGAGCAACTATTGACCCACACCCTATGGGGGGGAAAGGTGGCAAAGAGGGTTGTAGCGGGGCAGCTGCAGGCCTTCTTGCATGACCCAGGTTATTTAGATCCATTCCAATCTGAGTTCAGGCCTGGCCACGGGACTGGGTCATCCTAGGTCATCCTGATGCACTCAGGCAAACTCCCTGCCACTCTGGTTAACATGAAGGCCAAGGGAGTCATCCTTTCTAGTTTGCTTTCTAGTTTCAGAATCCTTTCTAGTTTGCTGAAGATCTTGCTGGTGTTTAGTTGCCTTGTTCTTGTATGTGAGAAATGTGTAACAAACTTTGTTATCTTCCTAGCTAGCAAATAAAGTGCCCCATCAGCATTTAACCACCAGTGTGTTGGTGGGGCATTACTTGTTGATCAAATCCTCCCACCTGCAGGTTTGGGGGAATTGCTGATTGCTTGTGATCTGGAACCTCTTTTGCAGCATTTGAGCATTTGAGTGATGTTAACCCCTAACATCACCACCACTGTAAAAGGCTTGACACATTTCTATATCAGGTTCCAATTTATTTATTTATTAAAAACCCTCACACACACACAAAACCCATCAGCATTTTTGTGTGCCTTTCTCCCAATATCCATGGTTTTGTATGCAATTCTATTTATTTATTTCATTTATGAATAACTTCCTAGGAAACACCTCCAACTGATTTAACAAAACATAAACATAAAACAATTTCATATATAAAATTCATTCAAACCACTTCATAGAAAACAAGGACAGATCCAAAACAGATTCATTTTTCCTAATACACCTAATATATTTTTGAAAGCTATGTTCTCTAATGTAGTGCATTCCAATGTCATTTTCATTAATATGTGCATTTGTAGGAATATTTTGAGCAAATATGTGCATTATTGTACAATTTTTGTTTGTTTGGAGAATTGCATTGCAATA